GAAATCTATCTTGCCTTGTTCCTGCTGAAATAAGCTTGCTTTATTCTTTATAAAATTATACGTTTTCAATAAAAATTGAGCTCTACAAAAACTTAAAAAAACACCTATTGCTTTCATCCTTGTTTATATTATTTATTTTATGAGTATATAGATATACTATATGTATACACCTGTGTGTAGGTCACAGTGCCTAGTACACATTTACATATACATATTTGTGTATACATGCCTATGTCTTTATATAATATGTATATATGCCTATATATATATATATATATATATATACACAAAGACCATCCCCAAATGGCACAAAAACACTAAAATATCAAAGAGAAATTCTTTTGTTATGCTGTGAAAATTAATATCACATATGTATTCATGTCAACCATAGAGGGATGACATTTACCAAGAAAATGAAATAGGAGACAATTTTTACTATATCTGTTACCAGACATAGTAAGAAAAAAAGCAGACATACATTACTTTTTAGCTGAAACAATTTAGTTTTTCCTCTTTTTTTCTTACAGATTTCAATTAATAGAACGATCTATTTTATCAATCATTATTTGGATTGATATTTTAAATTAACATATTGTAATTATACCACTGAAAATATAGTTCCCAAACAGTGTTGATGGTTCATGTCTGTAATCCTAGTTGTTCAGGTGGCTGAACTCGGAGAATCTCAATTCAAAGCCCATCCTGGCAGAAAAAACTGTGAGACTCTTATCTCCAATTAACCACCAGAAAACCAGAAGTGGAGCTATGGTTGTGGTAGTGGTAGAGCACTAGCCTTTAGTGAAAAATCAGACTCAGGCCCATGATCAACCAAAAACAAAACAAAGCAACACAAAACAAAAACAACCTCAAAACCCTGAAATTAATATTTTATCCTTTTGTTCTGATTAATTCTTTTGTTCTTATAGCTGTTTCTTCACACAATCTAAGTGCTATTAAATGATTATTCTTTCATTTACTTGTATAATCATATTTAACACTAGTACATGCTAGGTGAGTCACCTTTCAAACAAATATTTGCATTGCCTCCAAGCTCTTACATTGAAATTTTGACCCCCAGTTGGTGTACCAGGGCCTTTGTTAGTCAGTCTAGTTGTGAGGGCTAGTTCTACATAAATGGTTTTTATGCCTTTATAGATAGAACTTGGTGAGCTCCCTTGCCTATTTTACCAAGTGAGGACACAAGACAGTACTATGAATCAGAGACCAAATCCCACCAGACATCACATCTTCATGTACCTTGATCTTATACTTCCCTGCATCTAGAGCTGTAAGAAATGAATTTCTGTTATTTATAAGGCACCTACTCTAACATCCTCTGTTATATAGCCTTCATGAGCCAACACAAATGATGTTAAGATTTTTTTTATTGTGAAAATACCATCAGGAGGGGTTACAATTACATAGGCAAGATAATGAGTACATTTCTTATCAAGCATTGTTGCCTCGTCCTTTGTTTCCCCTTCCCGTCGTTCTTCGACATAACGACTTGTACATCTCATTGTTGCAATGGGTCTACCTGTATCACTATTTAAACGATTTGTTTTCCTTTTTCCCTTCCCCTCCACAAATTATACCAATGTCAAATACAGTGAAAGCAGGGAGTACAATGTGGGGAGGGACATACAAAGCAACAAAGAAATCATCTTATAAATATGTTAGAAACAATCACATGAAAGAAAAAACATTTGAATACTTATCTTGGGGTTCATTTCACCTAACATCAACTTATCTGACCTTTTCTGCTTGTCTCAACATATACTAGTTATTGCAAATTACTGTAGCACTTCACTGAGTTTTGTATTGTTCTAAGATTCACTTTTCTTCACTTTAAAACTGTATTTAGAAGCAAACAAAAGCCTGTGATGGTCTAAACAGAAGTTTAGTAGATCAAACTATCTGATACATATAATATTCAAATAAGAGAAAAATCATAAAAAGTACACTGACAAAAGTTCATCTCTTATATTTATGAAAATGAATATGCCAAGCATATTCATAGTCAATCAGAAGAGAGTGACAAGAAAATACATTTTCCAAGTAAGTAAAATTGTAGATAATTATTACTATCTCTTTTCCTGTGGGTTGAAAAAGAAAAGTCATAAACTTAGAAAGTCATTACAGATGATACCTGAGTGATTGTTGGAGTCCTATAATCTTCATTTCCCATAGATATGATATAGTTACCTTCCTACTCATTTCCAAGACTTTTCTCCAGATGCTTTTAGTCTTTGTTTCCAAAATCTTAAAGAATGAATAATTCATACTACAGTATGACTAGATTAAAAAATACATTCCTGCTCATTCTTTCTATTTTATTCAGGGAACTTTAATTCATACAAAGATCCTATAGCTCCCTGACTCAAATTAACAAGTAAAACTAATTATATGGAATTAATATTTTATATAAATAATTAATTTCTTACTTTTAATCTAAATTAAAATTAAATATTCTATCAATGCTCATCTTTATGCACTTATAATCTGCATATGCTTAAACATATAGAAGAATGACTAATCCAAACTATACTACCACTCATTAACAGCTCACAATAGATTTTTATTCCATGTCTGTTAAAATAAACATGTGAGACAATGAAAACATTTCTAATTTCTGTGGGCTTGGGCTGGAAGGTGATTCATAATTAATAAGAAAATAATGTTTCTAGGCAAGTTTAGATGCATTTGTAATTTATGTCTGTTAATACAAGTCCATCTCTGTACATGGGAATTAATTTGTCGGCAGACTGACTAAACTCAAAAAGTGAATGATTTATTTTTTGAATTATTTTTCACAATTACCCTTCTCGAAATACAAAATAGGATCAAAATCAAGGATAGAACTTCTTTCCTTTCTTAGTTCTGTAGCTAATCTGGGTCTTTATTTTATGAGACTGAATTATGCCCTACTGGCTCATGCCTGTTTTGTGAGGTAATCTCTCCATGTACATTTTGAGGACTCCTTGACTCATTCTTAAGCGTAATTTTATTACCTGAGGTTACTATCTGCAATATCAGAATAGAAACACATTGTCTTTGTCATTTATTTTTGGCAACTCAGATACATCACAAATTTTTCTTCAGCTATCCTTGTTTCCTTCCCTTCTCTTTCTCCTTTCCCTTTCTTTCTTCTCCTCCTAGCTCCCTCTCTGTCACCCCTCTCCTCTTCTTGTCCTCTCCCTCTCTCTTTTTCTTTCTCTCTTTTCCTCCAAGTCCCTATTCTCCACCTAGCTGCCTCATTTCTCTTCATTTCTTTCCTCTTGAGGACATACTTCTTGTGGTTTTCATATATCATTTCCACATCGTTGTTTTGGGAATTGGTTTTGGAAAGCTGATCCCCTATAGAAGTTGGTACAAATTTTGGTAAAAGGTTGTGATTTTCCAAGTTACAATTAGCACAAGTGGAACACGTGTATCTTGATCTTTTTAAACCTTAATCTTTATTTAGTCTTTCTTACTCTAGTCACTGAAAAGAAAGTCCCCTGAATCATCTTGAAATTCAGTTTATTATTTCATTCAACACAAATACCCATGTATTATCATCTGTATAATTTGTCAGCTAATTTAATAATAAATACAATAAAGAAATTTCAGAGATCAACTGATACAATTTCACTATATAGTACACAAAGAATATGAGGCTGAAAGACTACAAATTTTCAGAATTGAAGTGTATAGATCATAGTTAGAGCAAAAAAAAAGTCACTACTTATTCAATATTTTTCTCCTTTTATCACTGAAAAATCAATTTTTATATTTAATTTTTGTTTGACCTAAGTCATGCTTAGTAAAAGTTACTAGAATTTAACCACCATATGGCTGATAGAGGAGAGTAAATTGGTCTCCTTTGAACTGAGCAAGGTAATTTCTTTGTCAAAATAGTTTTATCATTACATAGTTTTTCATGTAGGTAATATTAATAACAATTTACATAGTGGGAAATTGAGATTCAGATGATCTGATCTCTACACAGTAAATTCTAATTTTGACTAATGCAGTTACTGATTTTCCTGTACGTACAAACATGTTCAATGCTGGATCAAAATTTGATAACACTGCTCCATGCCAGTGGCTCACATCTATAATCCTAGCTGTTTAGGAGATTAAGCCATCTCAAGCAGGAAAGTCCTTGAGACCCTTCTTTCTAATTCGCTGCCAGAAAACCAGAAGTGGAGCTTTGGATGAAATGGCAAAACAGTAGCTTCGAGCTTTCTCAGGGACACAGTCCAGGCCCTGAGTTCAAGCCCCAGTAATGGTGCAAGCATACATGCACACACCCACACCCACACCCAAACATGTGCTCACGTGCACATATAGAAAATGTATGTTTTTAATGAAATGAATTTAAAAAGTGGGTTTCATTCTAATACACATATATTATTTACTATATAGAAGCTGTAGTTGACATAGATGCTATGCAGAGAAATGTATTCTAGTATGTTCTTTGAAATTCATCATATATATATATATATATATATATATATAAATTGTTATCAGTCTTTCTGTTAATTTTGTCCCTGTCACCAAAGAAAGGTATCAAAACCGTTATTGAAACAAACCCAGAAGAAATAAGGGAAATTAATGAGTTAATGTAATCTATTTATGACTTATTTATTACAACCATATTTTACACAAGAAGAATAATTTTAAATTAAGATATAATCAATTAGACCTGAGTTCTAAATATTGATGTTCAATATCAGGCTGGGAAAGAACAAATTAATCATCTGCATATTTATTATATTTGTTGCTCAGTCCAATACTAAGGAATGTACCATACAAGTTGAGATAAATTGTTCAAATCTGCCACTTTGATTACAATAAACACAAGAACAAAGATAACATACTGGCCTTTTCATTCTTCTTTAGTAATATACTCTAAGAAGTTTCTCATTTTGGGGTATCTTTGGTCAGCAAACATACTAGGGTCTGGCAAAGTGTTTTCAACATACACATTTAATTCTTTCTCTTTTTTTGTATAGGAGGATTGAGAAACTGTCTCTCCAATACCAGTTGGTCCAAAAGAAGCTAATTCCTCTATTAGCTTTCTGAGCAATTCTGGCTTCATCCTTTCAGTTTGGAGGATTTATATCTCGTGAAGGCAGTAATAGGTAATAAACTGCCTTATTGCCTTCTTAAGTTACAGCTACCACTTTTATGGTAATTTAAAATCCCACAATCTATTCCTTTATAAATTCCGTTTAGTTTGAGGAAGTTTAAAGCTTACTATGGCTGTCTTACTAAGTGAAGAATGTTGGAGCAAAGGAATAATTGGTCTTGTGAGTCTGTGGGGCAGAAGTATGATCGTCAACATAACAAAGAATTGTCATTCATTGTAGCCTATTGGAACATTCATAGTGGGAAAGAAGAATGAAAGTAATTGTTATCCTCCAAGCTAACATGGACTTCTCTACTGTGAGTTCATTTCTCTCCAAATTTAATAATATATTAGAAAGCAGTAATGATTTCCTACTTCACAATAAAATATGAGCTTTTTTTTAATTAAACACATAATTTACTTCAAAAATTTCTGCAAAGCAGAGAGCTGTGTGTATCTTATGTAGATAACATGTAATTGTTGATGTGAGGTTAACATGAATTTATATCATCTTTTTTTAATATTGTGTCAATCCTGAGGCTTGAACTCAGGCCTCATACTCTTGCTCATGGCTGGCACTCTACCACCTGAGTTTTGTCTATACTACTGGCATTTTGATGGCAATTTGGTGATAAGAATCTCATATATTTGCATTCCTAGGCTGATCTTAACCACAATACTCAGATGTCAACTCCTAAGAATTCAAGATAATAAATGTGACACATTGACACCTATCAAATATTTATCTTCATAGTACCGGATAAATTGTTTGCATGTAATCTCTTTATATATATGCTTACTATAGAAACAAATATATTGTGTTGAAAATTTTCATCCTGTAAGTTCCAATTTTAATGTTTTGTTGACATTTTTATTCTGTATACTTTGTTATTTGGTGTATATCCTGTTTCAGTATTTTGTCTTTGCTCTAGCAATCAAAATGTTATTGTTTTTAATAACTATATACAGAGAGGCATGTACTTTTTATTATTAATAAAAGTTTTACTTATAATAATGTATCATTAAAATAATTTCTTTTGTTTTTAACTACAGATTTTAACATATATATTCATGTATGCAACTATATTTTATATGTTTAGAAAATAAAATTTCTTTAGTATCCAAATAACACAAATTTTATCCAAACAGGAACACTGTGAAAGAAATGCCACTATTTTTGTAGTAAATGATCAAACCCAGAATATTGAATATATTAAGCAGTTTTTCTCTCATTGAGTTACACTTTAACCTCTCACAGAGGAACTCTTTAGCTTTCAGATGAAAAGCTGAAATAATACTTAATTTTAAAAATGTAATAAACGTAAGGGAGGTTAACAAACACTTAAGTAACTGTTTTCATAAGATGGATATGAAATCTAACTTTTTCTATATTTCATCACCAGCATAGATAGTATTTATCTATTTCTATTTTTTTTTTTTTTTGTCCGTCATGGGGCTTGAACTCTGGGCATGGGCGCTGTCCCTCAGCTCTTCAGCTCAAGGCGAGCGCTCTACCACTTGAGCTACAGTGCCACTTCCGGTTTTC